CGTGCTGCAATTCTTCCTCCTCCAGTCCTGGGATTTGGGGTATGCAGGCACAGGGGCTCTCTGTGATTTTCAGGCTGCCAGGTCCCGGATCAAATTACCAGTGCCTTAGCCAGCATGCCACCTGCTGGCCCTGATGACATAAGTATTTAATTCCAGTGCTCAGAAATATCGACTGTTAACAGTGTTTATAGGGACCAGCAGTTAGCGTAATGGCTACGTCGCTGGACTCCCATGTAGTCGACTGTGGTTCAAGTCCTAGACCCGGTGGCTTAAACTCACGCTAGGCGTGTGCGTGCATGCCCAAGATCCCAAGAGGAGAATGGAGGAGAAGGGATTGCGGTGTGGCCATCCCCCCGGGCATGATTTCTCACTTTCTGTCTCTGTCTCTCTGGCAAGCACATGCGCCCTATAGGAAAAACTTCTCCGAAAAGAAAAGAAAACAGTGTTTATAAAAATAGATCTTTCTCAGGCCAGCTGGGAGTGCAGTAGTTAAAGCAGCAAGGTCCCTCATAGGGGAATATGTGTTTCGCATCCCAGATCCAGCATGGAGTCTGATCCACGCGTCCCTAAGGATCCCAAGAGGACCCAGACCCAGGGGCATGCCGGGCACATGTGTGTGCCCAAGATCCCAGCAGGACAATGGAGGAGGATGGATTGCAGTGTGGTCATTACCCAGTGTGTAATTTTTCACTGTCTTTCTCACTGTCTCTGTCTCTCTCCAGTGAGCGCACTTGCCCTATGACAAAAACCTTGGAAAAATAAAGCCCAAGAGGAGAAACAGAGAAGAGATTGTGGCATGGCCATGCCCATGGGGGATGCTTTCTCACTTTCCCTGTCTTTCTTGCTGTTTGTCTCTTCCATGGACAACAGGCGCCCTGGGTTGGCACCGTGCCCAGTGGTTAAAGTAGCCGGATTCCACATGGCCAGCTGTGCAGTTCGAGTCCTAGACCCGGTGGCTTGAGACACACACAGGGCATATATGCATGCCCCAAATTCTTTTTTTTTCTTCCTTTTTTTTTAATGTTTTCACCATAGGGCATGTGCCTGCAACAGAGAGACAGTAAGAGACTTGAGAGGGGAAGTGAGAAGTCATCCCCAGGGGAGATGACCACACAGCATGCCTACCCCTCCATTCTCCTGGCATCTTGGGCAGTCATGCACATGGTGCCTGCCGTGGGACATGAACCGCGGCTGGCCATGTGGGAGTCCAGTGCTGTAACCACTATGCCTCCTGCTGGCCCTGTGCCCCCAATTCTCAACGGGATGGAGGAATGGAGAAGGGGTTGCAGAGTGACCATGTCCCTGGGGTGCATTGTCTCTCTCCATCTCTCTCTCTCTCTCTCTGGGGAGTTCATGTGCCCTTTGGCCAAATTTAATGAACAGCAACAACAAAACAGAAGAGAACAGATGTGTAATACCAGGCCCGAGGGAAGCACCCAGACCCTAACAGTTAAAAGGCCCAGGACAGAGCAGAGTCACGGATGGCTTCGCACGTGGAGCTCTGCCTTCATATCAGCGTTTTCAGGACTCGATACGGTTATATGATTTTTTTTAAGAATTATTTAACTTATTTATTTACTTATTTTATTTTGACCAGAGAGAGACAGAGAGAGAGGGAGAGTGGGAAAGTGAGAAAGCAAGAGGCCAGTCCAGGACTCAGACTGCGGTCGGCTGTGTGGGAGTCCGGCACCCTAACCACCTGCCGGCCCCGGACTCATACAATTCCAGACATGCGCTAGCAATGCTTTCTCTTTCTCCTGGCATGAAGGCATGGTGGAGAGATTTTGCTAGGGTTTTCTGAATCCACAATATATGACAAGCTATTTCCTTTTTGAAAAAAATTATTTTATTTAACTTCATTTATTTATTTTAATTTGACCAGGAAGTGACAGAGAGAGAGAGACAGAGGGAAAATGAGAAAGCAAGCCGCTAGGTCGAGGACTCAGACTGCGTTGCCCATGTGGAAGTCTAGTGCCCTTCACCACCACGCCACCAGCCAGCCCCATGACAAGCTACTTTCTTTTTTTTCTTTTCTCTTTTTTTGGAGAGGTTTTTGCTATAGGGTGTGTGCGCTCACCAGAGAGACAGAGAGAGACAGAGAGACAGAAAGCGAGAAACCACCCCCCAGGGGGGATGGCCACGCCGCAATCCCTTCGCCATTCTCCTCTCGGGATCTTGGGCACGCACACACACGTGCCCAGTATGAGTTTAAGTCACCGGGTCTGGGACGCGAACTGCGGTCGACTACATGGGAGGCCAGCGACATGGCCATTAATGATAACTGCTGGTCCCATGACAAGCTACTTTCTAGCTGTTGAATTGATTAAATGGTTTTTCCTCTAGGGAAAAAAAAAATCTATCTAAAAAGGCAGGAAACAGGGAACCAGCAGTTAGCGTAATGGCTATGTCGCTGGACTCCCACGTAGTCGACCGCGGTTCGTGTCCCGGACCTGGTGGCTTAAAACTCACGCCGGGCACGTGTGCGTGTGTGCCCAAGATCCCGAGAGGAGAATGGAGGAGAAGGGATTGCGGCGTGACCATCCCCCCTGGGGGGTGATTTCTCGCTTTCTGTCTCTATGTCTCTCTCTGTCTGTCTGGCGAGCGCACGCGCCCTACAGTGAAAAATCTCTAAAAAAAAAAAAAAAGAAAAAGGCAGGAAGCAGACGTGGAAGATAAACGGGGGAGAGGGTAAAGCCGTGGTCTCAAACCAAGTATAGCATTGTTAAATGTGGATTTTTGCTTATTCTAAGTAAGATTATATGAAGGAAGCTATGCATAAAAAGAAAAATAAGATTAAAATTATGTGCCTTGGGGCTAGCAGGTGGCACAATGGTTAAGGTGCTAGACTACCACGTAGCCAACTGCAGATCGAGTCCTGGACCCAGCAGCTTGAAACTCACGCTGGGTGCATGTGTGTGTGTGTGTGCTCAAAATCCCGAGAGGAGAATGGAAGGGGAGGGGTTGCGGTGTGGCCATCCCTCCAGGGAGTGACTTCTCACTTTCTTTCTCTGTCTTTTCAGCAAGTGCATGTGCCCTATAGCAAAATTCTCTCTTTAAAAAACAAACAAAAAGAAAAAAAAAAACAAAGAAAGAAAAGTATATTCCTTAAAAAGATTATTAAAGGGACCAGCAGATGGCATAATGGTTACATCGCTGGACTCCCACATAGTCTGTGGTTCAAGTCCCAGACCCGGTGGCTTAAAACTTACGCCAGACGCATGTGCACGTGTGCCCAAGATCATGAGAGGAGAATGGAGAAGGGTTTGCGGCGTGGCCATCTTCCCTGGGGGGGTGTGTGTGTGTGTGATTTCTTGCTTTCTGTCTCTCTGGTGAGCACATGCATCCTAAGCAAATCTCTCTCAAAAAAAGAAAAAAAATGATAAAAGCTGCTTCTTTGGAAGGATTTCCTAGACGAGATCTTTCCTCCTAGTCTGGCGGTCTGATTCACGGACAGTATGTTAATCCACGCAATGGAGCCGCCTGAGAAGGTGCCCGGAACTGACGCTCTGAGCAAGTGCAGGCCGCGGGCGGGTGCGAGGCCTGGGGGGGGGGCGTGACCGACAGGAGACCTGATGGGCCAGGGACTGGCACCGCAGCAGTCCGCGAGACCCACATGGGAAGGTTCTGGGCTTGAGGCCGGGCCTCCCCTGTACGCTGGGACGAGGTCACATGTGAGGACCTCTGGGTGGCGCCTCTCTCCCTGTAGTCCTCCCCCCTCCCTCTTTCTCTCAGAAAAATTAATGAATGACGTTTTAAAAATCAAAGGAGAAGGATCCCTGGGCCAGCACGTGGCATGGTGGTTGAGGCACTGGACTCCCACATGGCTGACCATGGTTCAAGTCCCAGACCTGGTGGCTTGCTTTCTCACTTTCTATTTAACACACTTGTTCTAGCAAATCAATGAGTAAAATTAAAGAGAGAAGGGTCTTTTGGTGTGTGCTAAAAGATGGGAGAGCACCCACGGGCGGACAGCACGCTGCATTCCTTTCCCCTCCGCTCCCTTCTTGGGGTTTGGGCACGCACACACATGCACCGACATGTTCAGGATGCCATATCTGGGACAGAAGTGTGAGCCAGCCCTGTGGGATCCGGCCAGCGCCACGCCACTGCTGGGTCAGACCTCTGTTCTCCCCTTTTCTTCGTAGTCGTGTCTGCCTTAGGGTGCATGCATTTGCTGCAGGGAGAGATGGCGTGAGAGGGAAAGTGAGAAATCGCCCACACACACCCCGGGAGCTTGGCCACATCACAATCCCTTCTCCTCCAGTTTCCTCCTGGGATCTTTTTTTTTTTTTTGCGGTGGGGGGGGTTTGCTATAGGGCGCATGCGCTCGCCAGAAAGAGAGACAGAAAGCGAGAAATCACCCCCCAGGGGGGATGGCCACACCACAGTCCCTTCTCCTCCATTCTCCTCTTGGGATCTTGGGCACGTATGTACATGCTCCTGGCGTGAGTTTAAGCCACCGGGTTCAGGGCTTGACGCTAACTGCTGGTCTCCCTCCTGGGATCTTGAGAGGTGCAGGCACACAAGCCTATAGAGAGTTTCAGTCTACCAGGGCCTGGACTTGAACCACGGTCAGCCATGTGGGAGTCCAGCGTGTAACCGCTATGCCATCTGCTGGCCCTGATCTTGTGCTCTGGAAGGGAGTGACCAAAGCCTGTTTTCTCCCTTGGGGGAAACCATTCTGGCAGCAGTTGCAGTGGTGTAGACCCCTATGTTCACTGCCACGACGGTGCAGCGTGTACCGACAGGTGGACTGGGCTGCTGGCGTGGCTGTCCCCTCCCAGGCAGTTAGTGACTGCAGTCCGTGACAGCCAGCTCTGGCTGTGGCTGTGCAGGTGTGGCTGCTCTTCAGCGACACCAGCCGCGATTTCACCTGGTGCCGTTTACTAACTCGCGTTGGCTCCCAGGCAGAGGAGGGCTGCTTGCTGGAAGGGGTTCAGGGCCTGGTAGACGGTTAGAGGAAGCAGTTTACAGAGATGTATTGCTTTCTTCACTTGCAGGAGAAGCCCTGACGTCCAGGCTAAAGAAGAGCTGTGGAAACATATTCAGTGAGTACTTTCTGTATCGTTTCCAAACCTACGTACGCTTAGTGCAGGTGAAAGGACGGCCCGGCGGGAGAGGAGGCCTCTCTGCACCGCTGTCACTGGGGCGGAGGCCCTCGGTGGTCCCTGGCCGGCCGGCAGCTGCCGGCAGCCCTGCGACTCCTCACCTGAGGTGTAAGCCTTGCCTGTTCATACCTGAGTACAAAGGAGAGAAATTGCAGAGAGAAAGGCAGGAGGACAGGGAGGCAGGCAGATACCTGTAGAGATGGGGATGAGAGAACAGCCTGGCTGTAGAGAAGTGGAAAGACGGCAGGAGCGCTACCAAAAAGACTTTCCTCCCTTTTCTCCTTGAACTCAATCTAGCCTTTAAAAAGAAAAAAAAGAATTATTTATTTATTATTTAATTTTATTATTATTATTTTAAAATTTGGTTATAGGGCCTGTGTGCTTTAAGGGGAGAGAGAGAGAGAGAGCGTGCAAGAGCGCGCGCTCGCACAAGTGAGAAAGCAAGCTGACTCTTACCGTGGTTGGCCTCAACCACCACGCCACCTGCCGGTCCCACGGTCTAGTTTTAAAGCTCCGGTCTAGGCTTAAAATGAGTTTCAGCAACACTCCGTTCGGGTAAGACGAGGAGGGGAGACCTCAGCTCTGTCTGCGAAGGGTGTGAGCTTTTACAGCCGCACTGCAACTGTGTGTTCTTGTCTCCTCCCTTCCAGGAAGGAGCTGGTGGACCCAGCCGGACTCTCAGAAGAGCAGCTGAAAGAGATCCCATACACTAAGATAGAGTGAGTGTGTCTCTGGAAGGCCTGTGCTCAGAAGCCACTGTCTCTCCTTGCTGTTCGCATTGTCTTTTTAAAAAAGAATTACTTATTTAATTGTATTTACCCTTTTTTTTTTTGGAGAGATTTTCACCGTAGGGCGCGTGCGCTCGCCAGACAGACAGAGAGAGAGAGACATAGAGACAGAAAGCGAGAAATCACCCCCCAGGGGGGATGGTCACGCCGCAATCCCTTCTCCTCCATTCTCCTCTCGGGATCTGGGGCACGCACGCACACGCGCCCAGCGTGAGTTTTAAGCCACCGGGTCCGGGACACGAACCACGGTCGACTACGTGGGAGTCCAGCGCCATAGCCATTACGCTAACTGCTGGTTCCCGTATTTACCCATTTTTAAATTTGCTGTAGGGCACATATATTCACCAGAGAGAGACAAAGAGAAACAGAGGCGTTGGGAGGGAGGGAGAAGCAAACTGCCAGGTCTGGGACTCGAACCACATCGGCCATGTGGTCCAGCACCTCCACCACCACGCCATCAGTATGTTGTCTTTACTGTTTGACTCAGATTAAAGGGACCGTTGGGAAAGAGACAGACAGGGCTGTTTAGAGCTAGTATTCTCCCTTTGCCCCGTAATCACTGCCACCCACACGAGCCGGCCCTGTGTGCAGTTGGTACGAGGGCACTTTTGATGATTAATGCCATTTTGAAAATGATTTTTCCAAGACATTCATTGGTTAGTAACAAAGTTTATTTTTATTTTTTAATTTGTATAGAGTACATGTACTTGCCAGAGACGGGGGTGGGGAAGGATGATAAAGCACCCACACACAAGAGATGGCCATGCCATAGTCCCTTCTCTTCCAGTCCCCTCTCAGGGTCTTTGGCACTCATCACATGACCTGTGTTTTCAATCCTCCAGTTTTTTTCAAACTACAAAGTCAGCCATGTCGGATCCAGCCACCTTAACCACCATGACACTGGCTGGCCCCGTTTATTTTTACTTTGTAAAATTTTTTGAGACCTTAGGGTACTTTTTAAAGACGTTTATTTATTTATTTATTTATTTATTTTACATGAAAGGGGTTGGGGGGAGGGTCAAGGTCTTGCCAGTGATCTACACCCCACCCCTTCTCTTCCACCTTCCTCACCGCCTTCCAGCTAACCAAGATGGAGGGTTTCTTCGGCCAGGATCTGAGCCCGGGCCTCACAGAGCTCTGGTTTCATGTAGCAGCACTCCTGCATATGCTGCCGCAGCTGGGCCCAAGCACCAGTTCCATTGACCACAAAAGCATGTCCTAAGAGCCTAGTCAGTCCCTGTCCTGGAGCGGGCAGAGCACACGGGCTTCATGGAAGCAGAGCAGGACCCGAGTCGGCACACACTGCGGGATGCAGACCTGCATGCTGTCTGCCCTGCTGTGGCTGGTCACGACCAGAGGGCTCCCCTCTGCAGCCCGTGCTCCCTCCCACCCACTCGAACCGCAGGGGCACCCCAGCTAGCACCCCTGCATCCCCAGGCTGCAGAGTGGATGCTTCTTTTTCTACTAAGCTACACTGACAATTAGCAGTTGTCTTTACGGTATATGCATATTTTGCTGTTTGTATACATGGTGAAATGATTAAATCCTGCTAACAACATGTCTGTCACTTTACACAGTCTTGGTGAGAACATCTAAGACTCATTGCTACTCTCCTAGCAATTTTCAAGTAAAGACTGAATCTTTAAAAGACAGGCTAGGGGCCTGCAGACGGTGCAGTGATCACTGGACTCCTACATGGCCGATTGCCGTTTGAGTCCCCGACTCAGATACTTGAAAATCGTGCCTCGTATGTGTGCCTGAGTAACCAAGATCCTCGAAGAAGGGTGGAGAAGATTTGCTGTGTGGCCATGCCCCTAGGAGGGTGATTTCTCACTTTCCCTCTCACTGTCTCTGTCTCTCTCTCCAGTGAGTACATGTCCCCTAAGGCAAAAACCTCTAAAAAACCAGGCTGGTTAGTAGCTAATTTAAAGACCAACTTGTTCTGATAGGAATGCCATTTTGTGCACATTGTAGATTTTTTTCTTCCATGCTTCTTAAGAATTTAACTCTGGGAATCATTTCATTTGAAATTTGATGGTTACAAAATATACACACAAATGCTTCAGGTAAATTATGGTCAAGGGGGCACTTTGTTTTCTTTTCTATGTTATTTTCTCTCTTTCTTTTCTACTTCCTTTTCCTTCCTTCCTCCTCCTCCTCTCTTTTCTTTCTTGCCCGAGAGTGTGTGTGCCCGTGTGTGTGCCTGGGAAACAGCAAGCGTGCTCCTGGATCTGTCACCTTGAAAGCCCTTCTCCTCCGTTCCTCCACCTGTCAGGATTGGGGCTTCTGGGGGTGGGACTAGGAATGTGGGCCCAGTTTCCCCAGCCCCAGGGCCAGCCGCCAGGAGCACTTCTCTACTGTGAACTTGTAAAATTGAGTCACTCAGACTTGCAAAAGTCAAGTTCTTTTTTTAGGTTTTTCCATAGGGCACAGGTAGGCACATGACAGGGGGAGGGAAAGTGAGAAACCACCACCCCAGGGGGAACGGCCAGGCCCAATCTCCTCCATTCTTTTGGGATTCTTGTGGGTACCCGCACAGGCGCCAGGACGACTTCCATCGGGTCCAGAGCTCAGACCGTGATCAGCAGGTGCCGGCCGCCACCTGCTGCCCCAGTCGAGGTCTTGACCCCACTCTTGAAGTCGCTGCTCCCTGCAGCGGCGTAGGAAGGGGCAGTTGGAGTCGGCCTGTTCTGAGTCCTGGTTCCGTTCTGTTCCCTTTCACTGCTCAGGACTCAAGGCGACCCGATCCGCATCAGGCACTCGCACTCGCCGCGCAGCTACCGCCAGTGCCGCAGGTCGCAGTGCTCGGATGGTGAGCGCTCGGTCCTCTCGGAGGTGAAGTAAGTGGCGGAGCACGGGGGGCAGCCCTGTCCCTGTCCCAGCAGCCACCCTCCCCTCCTCTCCTCCTCCCCTCCTCTCCTGGGCCCTCGCTGGGTCCTGTCCCGGGCGCTGATTCCCACCCTCACTCCGCAGCTCCAAAACGGATCTCGTACCTCCACTTCCGGTGACGCGGTCCTCGGACGCTCAGGGCTCCGGTGGCTCCACAGTTCACCAGGTGCGTGCAGAGCGGAGTTCGGGCCTCGCAGGGGGACAGGCTGGAGGAGCACTCGTGCTTGGGGCGGGACTTCGGCTTCATTCTGGGACTCTGCGTTTTCAGAGCTTGCAGAGAATGTGGGGGCGGGGAGGGTGTGACCCCAGCTAAGGCAGCCAGGAGGTCAGTGAGGGCTGACAGCCAGGTAGTGCCACTGGACAGCAAAGGTCGGAAGATCATCATTTGAGGCCAGAATAAACAATGGCTTCACTAATTAGAAAATAAACAAAAATCTTTGTCATTTTTTTGGCCAGAGAAAAAGAGACTGACTCATGGGGAGCAGATAATTTATTAACTGATGGCAGACAGAATTACTGGAGTCCTACTTTAGTATTTTAAAAATTGCTTTAGGGCACATGTGCTGGGGGGCGGGGGAGACCTCCCAGGGGCTCTGGTCATGCTGGAGTCCCTTCTCTTCTACTCCCCTCTGGGGATTTTAGGCGTGCGCACACACACACACACACGTGCACACACATCTAGTGTGTTTTTCAGGCCACAGGGTCCAGGACTTGAACCACGCGTCAGCCATGTGAGATTCAGCCGCCTTCACCATGTCACTGGCTGGCCACACTCAAGAGTTTTGGTTTTTAGATTTTTTGCTGTAGGGTGCATCCTCTCTCTAGAGAGAGACAGAGAGAGGAAAAGTGAAAAATCCCCCTAAGGGGGATGGTTATGCTGCAGTCCCTTCTCCATTCTCTTCTTGGGATTTTGGGCACACATGCACACATGCCCAGTGTGCTTTTTTGGCCATCTGGTCTGGGACTTGAACTGCAGAGTTGGCCATGTGGGACCCAGTGCCTTAAGCCCCACACCTTCTGCTAACCCTGTCATAGCTTTTTAATATGAGGGGAGGGGAAACCTGGGCTGAGTAAGATAGCTGGATGGAGCTCGTCTGGTGAAACTGTCGGTCTGCAAACAAGGCTGATGTTCCTGGTGTCAGCTGCTGGCCTGCTTGTGGGGAGGTGGTTCTCTGTCTCTCCCACCACTGCCCCCAGCACGTAGACCCTAACATACAGCCCAGGGGTGCACGGCTGCCTGCCTAAGAGCCATCTCCGCAGGCCCCACCACGCGGCCCCCTTCATTTCCCCGTTTCATTTCAGTGGGTGACTTGTGCGAGGCCCGAGCTAGCTTGGGCCAACCCCCTCGAAACAGATCCGAGGAGCTGGGCATGTCGGGAGTTTATCGGAAGTGCCCTTGGTACCAGCCTCTGCAAGAGAGAAAGGAACAGGGTTTGGGAGGCAGCGGGAGTTGAACTGTGTAATTTGCCTCCGGTAAAGATGCCAAAGAGCCCACGGGGGCATGGAGCGAGGTTGGCCCTTCGAATTCATCCCACCTTGAGCTGAGAGGGTGGGCCTTTACACACTCACGCTCTCAGGCCCTGGAGTAAGAGGCACTCCTCCCACCGCAGCCACGCCCGGCGCTGGGGGAGGAACGCAGCCAGGGTGAAGGTCTAAGTGACACAGCTTCTACTGCAGTCTGCGGGATGTTTGGTTAGAGGACTCTGGGAGAGCGGACAGGGTGTCCACGTGGACAGTTTGTTCCAAGCTGACCGCTGTTTTCCAGAATGATGTCCGTGATTCATAGTTTAGCCTCCGGGCTGGCTCCAGGGCCTGGCGGCTAAGGCAGCTGCATCCCACATGGCTGTCTACACAATTGAGGCTACGAGAAACTTGCTGTGTTTGTGTCCAAAATCCCAACAGAGGGGGACATGGAGAGGGGACTGAGGCGTGGTCATGCCCCACAAGGGTGCGTTCTCCCCTCCCGTCCCTGCCCCGGTGAGTGCATGTGCTCTCAGCAAAAAAGAAAAAGCTCGTGCCTTCAGCGATTGCTCCTCTCCTCCGCTACCCCTGCGCGGCTGTGCGTGTCTGACTTCTCACCCTCGGCAGTGTGGGTAACCGCCTCTCAGGGTTCTGTGGCAACTACTGTCTTCCGGGGCTTTTGTCTTCATTTTAGTTGGTTTCAATGCAGATAGGGATTTTTTTTAAATTTTTGCTTTTGAATACATGTGCTCGCGCACAAGAGAGAATATTACCCCCGGGGGGCATGGCCACACTGTGGTTCCTTCCCCTCCATTCTCCTCTCAGGATTTTGGGCACATGTGCACAGGTGCCCAGCATGTTTTTCAACATGGATTCAGTGCCCGGCTGGAACTCAAACTGCACAGTCAGCCACGTGGACTCCAGCCACCTTAACCTCCATGCCATCTGCCGACTCCAAAGAGGAATTTTATATTACTGTGTTCTGCTTGCCGACTGCTCTAAGATCCCCCTGAGCACTACCACTCAGGAATTTTTAAAAAGTTACACTAAATGTTGAAAGGACAGCTGTCCCTTTGCTGTGTGCAAGAATACTCGCATGCATCTTCTGCTCACTAATACGATGCTTTAGCCTGACTCTGCATCAAGTTTGATTTCAGTCAGCAAATGCCCAGTGAGCACAGCTCAGGAGTGTCCAGCGCTGGTCTGAGCAGTGAGCTGTGGCCTGTGGGTCACATCTGTTTGCGGCCCGTCTTTGTAGCCTAACAGCTCAAAATGGTCTTTGTACTTTTAAAGGTTTTTTTTTTTGTTTGTTTGTTTAAAGAAAACAAAGCTGTAATACTTCACACAACAGGACATAGTCCACAAACTCATTCTTTTTTTATTTTTATTTTTTTTATTTTTTATCATCATATCTTCTTCATATTACATTGGATTACATATAACTTTACTGTGTATTACATTGTTTCTTCAAAAGGGAATGCCATGCACGTCAGTCAGTACAGAGACATTTATCTCCCCACTTCAACATTCCATATCTTTTCTGTTTTCCCCAATCATTATCTTTATTATTCTAATTATTTTTATAAAACAGTCAATTGCTATTTCTCGTTTTGCTTGTAAAAATACTTTGCCCGTCATGAAACACT